CTGTTCCCTACCCTGTGCTCCACCTTCCCCTCCTTCCACTCATGTCACCTCCTGTATCCTGGTAACCAGCAATGAAACCCAACCCCACCCTCCTTTAGTATATGGATTCTTTTTCTTAGTTTTTTACAGTAGTGGTCCTATGCAGTATTTCTCCTACAACTGACTAATTTCCTTCAACATAATGTCCTCAAGGTTCATCCATATAATGTGATAACTTATAGCTTCCTTGTTCTTCAAGGTAGCATAATATCCCCTTGTGTGTGTGTGTGTACCACAATTTGTTTATCCATTCTTCAGTTGATGGGCACTTAGGCTGTCTCCATCTTTTTGCCACTGTAAGTAGTGCTTCTGTGAACATTGGTATGCATATATCTACTCGTGTTATGGCTTGTATTTCTTGTGGACAAATACAAAGTAGAGGAATTGCTGGATCACAAGGTATTTCTATTTCCAACCTTCTGAGGAAACGCCATATTTCTTTCCAGAGAGGTTGGACCATTTTGCAATCTCACCAGTGATGCAGGAGCATCCCAGTCTCTCCACGTCCCCACCAGCATTTATTGTCCTCTACTTTTTTGAACTTCGTTGTTATTGCTAGTGTGAGATGATATCTCATTGCTGTTTTTATATGCATCTCTCTAATGGCTAGTGATTGTGAACATTTCTTCATATGTTTGTTGGCTGCCTGCATCTCCTCCTTAGTGAAGTGTCTGTTCATGTCCTGTGCCCATTATTTATTTGGGTTCCATAAACTTTTTTATACTTGTGATTCCCTAATTTATATCTTGAGATTTGACCTTCCCCTTGGAACTTTAGACCCATATATTCATCTTCCTATTTAGTATAATTAATTGGCTGTGTTAAAAGCTTTTCATACTTAACTCCCCTAAACTGAACTTCCGTCCAAAACCCATTTCTCTCATGGTCATCTTCATCTCATTATATAGCCTTTCATCCTTCTATTAAGAAAAATTACCTGCGAACCTCTCAGCACTTCTATTGCTTACACCTGAATTGTTGGCAACAGCTTCTTACGTAGCCTCTAGCCACCTGCCCCAGGCCCGCCATTCTAGTCCCAATATGAGCCTGTTAAAACAGAAGTCGAATCCTGTCCTCCTCTGTCGTAGACTCTCTAATCCTAGTCTGTAGCATAGGCTTTCCCTGCCTTCTAGAGTAAAGGCTAGAGTCCTTAGGTGTCCTACCCTGTTACTTCATAGACTTTTACTGCTTTCCTCCCTGCTTACTTCAGACACATGGTCTGCCTTGCCAGGAATTCTCTCATCTCAGGTTTTTATAGTTTCTTCCCTCTGCTTGAATTATCATTCCCAGACCTCTCTTTGTTTATATGTCACCCGAGTAAGGCTGACCTGATTATCTGATTTTACTTTTTCCTATTCATTCTATCTCCTCTATCTCATTTTTCTATATAGTCCTTTTTAGCTAAGTAAGTATATTATATTATATTGTTTCTCTTCCTATTTGAGAATAGAAACTCCTTGCAGGCAGAGGTATGTTATCTGGGTTGCTCCATGCTTTGCCTGAATGCCTAGAACATTGTCTGACATATCAAAGGCACTCAAATATTTGTTGAGCTAATTGGATTGTTTTGGGCCAAGACTTGGTGGGTATAAAAGCCTGATTTGAGTGAGCTTAAGGAAAAGAAGAGGCGAGGATGTAGATACAAGGAATATAGACAAAGTTTTGCTGAAAAGTGGATCAAAGAAATAGGCAGTGGAGGACAAGGATGTGTGGTTAATAGGAGAATACCTGATAGTATTCCTCGAAGGTGGTATCGTGGAGTCAGTTCCGACTCATAAGGATCCTGTACAGGGTTTCTGAGGCTGTAAATCTTTACGGGCGCAGAAAGCGTCATCTTTCTCCCACGGAACGGCTGGTAGTTTTGAACTGCTGACCTTGCGGTTCGCAGCCTGATTTGTAACCACAACGCTACCAGAGCTCCTCGAAGGAGAAAGAAACTGGTGAGGCTTGTGGAAAGGAAGTGGTCAGTTGCAGAAAGTGAATTTGTGAGTGAGCTCGAGGGAATGGAATGCCTGCTGGTACACAAGAGGGGAGAGCTGGCAGGAAGGCACACAGCTCTCACCTCACATGATTGGGAGGGTTAGAGCCCATGAGTGCAGTTACAGCAGGTAAATTCCGAGAAATGAGCATTTCCCATCTACATTTTGACTACATGATTTCTGTAACTCATAAAGTATTATAAATTATTTTCTCTGGATTATAGTTATTTGTATATTCTCCCATTGTACAAGTTCTTAGAGGTGAGAGTTGAATTTTTAAAATATTTTTTTTCTTGATATTGTTGCTGTGGATGCTTAAATATCTTAATTAGTCATGGGGGGAGGGGGAGGGTCATGTCATATAATCATGACAAAGCTAAGCCCTAGCAGCTTGTTTTAGATTGTACCACCAATCTAGAATCTTGTCTTGCTGTCTTTCCTTTGTGTTCTATTTCATTGTTTTCTTTTTTCATATATGTCATAGAACCAGACTGGGGACATTGGGGTGTGGGATTCATTGGTTTTCTCACTCCTTCCTTTCACTAAGAGTATTCTTTTGTTTCCCTGTCCTCAAGGGGAGTTGAAATGCCTCATCTTTGGAATCAGACCTGGTTTGGAAATCCCTGAAAAGTTTTTCTTCCAGTATTCATTTGAAGAAGTCTGTGTATCAGACAGACAGACACTGTTTGGAATTCATAAATCCCTATCACCCTTGAGGATGCTGAGTCCCTGTACTTACAGGGACCAGCACATCTGTATTGCTGTGTAATGCCTTTTTAGCTTGTTTCATAGAACCACTAGAGTCTGGTGTTTAGTCACCTACTCTTTGACCTTTATTGGCCTTTTGACAAAGTCTATTTACTGTTTTTGTTAAGTACCTTTGAGTCGGTTCTGACTCATAGCTACCCCATATAGGGTTACCAAGGCTTTAAATCTTCAAGGGAGCAGTGGGAAAATAGAAATAAAAGATAATGAAATTTGTCCACGAACTTTTTGAAGTATTGAAAGTTCTAGTCTCACTACCACCTAGTTCTTGATATATACAAAGCCTACTCTTTCCTTTTGTTTTTTCCTCTCACTTCCTAGTGTGTTGAACTTTTGTTCATTATTTTTAAGACTATCCTTTCTCATATGTTGATATTTCAGCACGTTACTGTTTTTACCCCAAGCCAATAATTGTTAAGTGCCGCTGTGTCAGTTCCGACCCGTAGTGACCCTGTATAGGTTTCCTCCTAGGAGTAGCTCTTCTCCGACCTTGCAGTTCAAACTGATTTTGCAGTATAATGCATTAACCCACAGCGCCATAATTGGTCAGAAAATTGGTGTGGGAGGTAATGACCAACGTTTTTACACAATGGAATTAAATAGACTTTAGAATCTTTTGCATATAGTAATAGTAAGGTTAGGTATAGTTTATGAAACTTCTGCTTCTTTTATTTTTATATGAGAGTAATTCAAAAGTATTGCTACTAGGGTTCCAGTTCATACATGCACAGGTTTATCCCAAATAAAGTATGTTTGAACCTGTCTCTGATCAGTGGATGGCTGCAGACATGTTTTCTCAGTAACACATGTCTTATTCTCATCGGGTGCCTTCAAAACAGGTCCAGTCAGAGCAGTGGCTTCTTAGGGGACCTGCTCGGTCAGTTAAATTCGAGTTAGAGGGGTCACTTCAGAAGGTTGTATGTTGTTGTTAAGTGCGTCGAGTCAGTTCCGACCCATAGTGACCCTGTGCTGATCTTGTGGTTCAGTCTGACTTTTACAGTCCAGCACGTTAACCCACAGCATCACACCAAGACTCCTCAGAAGGTTATGGTAATTGTAATTTTGGATCCCAAAGGGAATAATCTTGATAGATTTTTTTTAAAGGACACAGGACAATCATGGGGGCTTATTATGCAGTTTTAAGATTAGAAAAATGGCATTGGTGAGAAAAAGCCCAGGAAAGCTGTGCTGAGCAATTTTTCCCCAACAAGGCAATGCACCTGCAGTCTCTGAGAGCAGCGAGGGCTGTCCTGTGAGAATTTCATCTGGAAAACTTCTCCCATCCACCCTACATCTCTGATATTGTCCCTTCAGACTTCTTTTTGTTCCCTAGATTCAACATTTAAAAGGAAGGTGATTTGAGTCTCCAGAATGTCCATAGTGCCATGGTGATATGGTGTTAATCAAAGGGCACAGAATTCTTCAAGGGTGGGTCAGAGAGATGGCAGTGCCACCTCCAGAACGATGGGAGGATATGTTGAGAAACAGTAACGTTTTTTAAGGTTTCTCTGGTTTTGTAGCAAGACTTTTTGTATTACTTTTATGTGTGTCAGAAAGTGTAATTCTTTCACTGGGTCATGTTCAAAAGCATTTGGAAGCTTCTGTGTTCATCACCTATGCTAAGCTGAACACTGGGAGAGAGCTCATCACACCCAGGCTCTTTGGCTTCAAGTTTAAGAGGTAGAGTTTGATAGGCCCATTTTTTGGGACTTGGTTTGAGTCTTACCTTCTCAACTAACCACATAATATCAAACCCATGTATGTTTTCCCTGTCTAAGTTCTCACACCTACAAGATGACTGTTAACGTTTTTACCTCAGAAAAATGTGCAAAAACCACTTTAAAAAATAACATAAGTGAAAATACCTTTGAAATCTCTGAGGCAAGGAAAAATCATTTTAAGCGTGACTTTAGCTATCTGTTTCTGCTTGTTTGCTTTGTGAAATTTTTGCAGGAGCAGGCATTATAAATCCTTTGCAAGATCCCCCTCTCTGTACAGTTGCCTCACTTCAGTAACTCACAAATGTCCTTTTTGACAGGAGTGAATGCCTTTGGATTTCTCAGTCAGCCAGTCCATTGTTTGTTCAGAGGTTCTGGTTTATTCTTGACTCTACATCGGGAGACAAACTGTTAACCTTCCCTCAGAAACGTTTGCAATTGTGCCTGTGTGATTTGTATGTTATCTTTTTTTTTTTTTTTTTGGTCCATTTGTACTTAGACAAAGAGGCAGCTGAACGTCTTTCAAAAACAGTGGATGAAGCATGTCTGTTACTAGCAGAATACAACGGGCGCCTGGCGGCAGAACTGGAAGACCGGCGCCAGCTGGCTCGGATGTTGGTGGAGTATACCCAGAACCAGAAAGATGTTTTGTCAGAAAAGGAGAAAAAACTAGAAGTGAGTACTTTGCAAGGCAGACCCAGATTCTCTCTAGTTTTCCTTCTGGTAGCTCACATTAGGAGGTTTTTCTGATGCCTTCTTTAATACCTCTTTGTCTTTTAAAATTTCATGAAATGGGAACATCTATCAGATTCCATAGTTACTTGAGCCTACTTAAATACTAAGTTTACGTTTTTATGTGTACAGAAACGAACAACTCAGATGGCAGGAAACAGACTCTTATTCATAGTTTTAGTTTGAATGTAGCATTTTGGAAAAATTACAAATTAAGGTACAAGAAGAAGGGAGGAAGTCAGCGCAACCAAAGAATGTTTATTTGGGACATGCCTGAAAGTTACTTTCTTTGGGTCATACTGAAATTTGTTTCTGACTCGTATCCATACTGAGGCCAATAAGTAGCCAGGCTCTCCCTTTCATCGGGTGTAAAATTTCACAGTTCTGGAGCCCAGTTCTCAAGCTGTTGGGAAGGAAATCCCTTCTACCCCAAGTGAGAACCTTAGTCGGAGTGTCCCTGAGAGGGGGTTCCAAAGTAGTTTCTCGCTATGCACTTTTTTGGCACCTTAGTTAAGTACATAGAGGTTTAACCTCCATACTTCATCTCTTGAGGTAACAGCAAGCAGTGTGGGTATTTGGGAAATCTTGCTTACCCCAAGCTGCTACTCTTGCGTTTTAGGAGTGTCTTTTTTTAGAAGGCTTAGAAAAGAATCTTCTACCCAGTGGTTTTGTGAAGGGGAGGACAGTTGTGAGTTGGGGGATTAGTCACATTGCATTAAAAGGAAAACCTCTTTAGTCCCACTTCAAGTAAAGAAAGGCAGAGGTGGTCCCCACTTCTGCACTTAGGAAACACACATTCTCTGGTGCAGAGGAAGGGGCAATTGAACCTTGGTGACTGAGATTAGTAAGTTTGCCTTTCACGCAGCCACCTGACTTGAGGGGAAGTGAGTGATTATCCTTTCCCCATATCCTTACCTGTAGTGATGATGAGAACCATGATGAATAGTGGTAGTGGGAACCTCATATTGCTAGCAAGCTTGTGGAAGTTGAGAAAAGGCTGTAAAAATAGTATGTCTTGGATTTAGAAATTGGCACTGACCAGAAATCCTAAAGGGAGTTTCACGGGCAATACCAGACGGTCATTTATCTGTAATGCTCATCTTTCACTGAGGAAGCATTTTCAGCACTGTGCCCCGGGACTAATAAGAGAGTGTAATTAATGATTCTGGTTGTAAGTCACCATGCCATCTGTTGAACTGCCCCTTGGCGACACATTAAGGGCTTTCTCTGATCTGTCAGACATTGATTATCATGAGCAGCTGTTGTTGGGTGGAACATGGCAAGCTACCATAGAGGACAGTCTTTTGAGAAGGAGATTGGGCTAGTAGAGTTGGTTAACTCTTTGCTGTGTCCCCTTCCCACATTTACACTTTCTCTGCACCTTTCTTGGGGAATCATTTTGACTTCCTTGGAACCAGTTGTCTATTGGATGCCTCAGAAGGATATTAAAGTCGAGAAAGGATTCAGATTGAGGACTCTTCTGAGCTTTCCAACCCTCATTCTTGAACTCATCGAGCAGTTGGAATTCCATTGCTTACAAAGCAAAACAGGAAACTCCCACCAGTGGAAAATACAGTTAAACGTTTGCCACCCCAGTTTGTGTCTCTGAGCCACTTGAAGAAATCTACTCCTTGTATAAATGGAGCTAAATTTGCTGCATTTAGAAAATACAAATAACTAGGTACAAAAGAATACATTGAAAGGTAACTTTACCCATTTTTACTAGAAATGTGAACAGTCTTCTTCCAGAATCTAAGGTTTTCCTTCATATCTCTTAATAGATTGGTCTTACTGTATTATAGGGTAACGGTAAAACTTGCAAGTATGTCTTACATTAGATGCAGTAATACTAAATTCCCCATATCTGCAGAGACTTAGCCATTCTTCCATAGAGATCTTTTCTTTTCTTCTTAAAAGTTCAGAGAATTGAGCATAAGTAAGTGTCCTTTTGGATCACATTCTTTTTGCCCACTCCTTTGTAAAATTCCATTTTTTCACTGCAGCCAGTCCTTGTTTTAAAACTGCCACATTAGAAAACACCAGTCACGCTTTTGTTTTTTTAATCTTTTCATTGTCTTCAATGTATAAATGAAATCTTTTTGATTGGTAGTCTTTCCAAAGTTCTAGTAGTGTTTTAATTTTTTAATGTTTTGTTTTTTTAAGTTTGCATCTTCTTTATGTAGCATAAGTATCTTTTTTTTCACTTGAAAATTGTATGTTAGATTGTGTAGAGGCTCCTGAACTTTAGGGGAGGGTGTGATGATTCTGACCCTAAGGTGATTCAATCTTTACCCAATAAGGAGGGGAGTTGTAGATCACAGAAAGAGATTATGGTTCTGACCTCAAGGATGTCATATTTTGACATAAATAGTATGTTGTTGCTAAGTGCCAGTTCGACTTACAGTTGCCCTGTGTAGGGTTTCCAAGGAGCAATTGGTGGGTTTGAACAGATGACCTTGCAGTTAGCAGTCCAGTGCTTATCCTACAGCACCACACCAGGACTCTCTAAACAGTGTGGTGGTTATGATGGTGTGTGGTTGAGTCCGTTTCTACTCAGAGCAACCCTGTCTTTTTCCCACTGAGTGCCCAGTGGACTTGAACTGCTGACTTTGCGGTTAGCAGCCCCATGCATAATCCACTATGCCACCAGGGTTCCTTATAAATAGTATGTTGTTGTTAAGTGCCATCGAAGTCAGTTTTGACTCACAGCGACTCTTACAGCATCATACTAGGAGTCCTATAAAACAGTATGTGGTGGTTGTGATTAAGTGCCATCGAGTTGGTTCTGACTCATAGCGATCCTTTATAAGGTTTCCGAGGGGGTTTCTGTAAAGTTTTACTGAAGCAGAAAGCCTTATTTTTCTCTTGTGAGGTGGTTGGTAGATTCAAACAGTTGACTTTGCCATTAGCAGCCCAACAACACTACTAGAGCTCCTTTTAAACAGTATGTTGTTGTTAAGTGCCGTGGAATCAGTTCTGATTCAAGCGACCCTGTATAGTATTTCTGAGAAGCAGCTGGTCTGTTTGAACTGCCAATCTTGTGGTTCACAGTCCAGTTCTTAACTTCCAGCAGCACACTAGCAGTCCTTAAACAGTATGCTGTTCCTGTTAAATGCCATCAAGTCAGTTCTGACTCATAGCAGTCAAATCAAAGAATTGTGCATAATGTCATTAAGGAAAACCCACACACTTCTTGGCAGGCAGAGAAGCCTTTGGTAAAAGGTCATAATTGAAGAAGAGTCAGGTATGTGAAAGATGCTGGAAACCACAAGTGGGGAGACTAAGACTCAATCCTTAAGTAGCTGCTTCATGACATCAGCCAAACTTGTGCCAGTCAGGAGGTGTGCAGAGGAGTAACACCAGCAAAGGAAGAGTTAAATGTCAAGTCCCCTTGTAGAATGTGACAGTGTTAGAAGTAAGGGGAATAATGGAAACTATTGTGTCTAAATTGAAATAGACTGAGGAAAAAAAATTAAAATGCTAATACTGTGATAAGCACTGGACTGCTAACCGGAAAGTTGGTGGTTCAAACCCACCAGTCACTCCTTGGAAAGCCCTTTATAGGGTTGCTATGTTTTGGAACCAAATTGACGGCACTTCATAACAATAGCATTCGTTTGAGCAACTTTTTATTAAAATGATTAAGAGAATTTTCACATGCATGGACACTGAACACCACGATTTCTGAAGCATGTCTCCCAAAGTCAGCCAGGCTGTGTTCTCTGAGAGCTCCTACAGTACCAGGAGCTGACTTGTTCCTCTGAAATACTGATTGTGTGAGTGGATTTCATCACTTGATGATGTAACCTTTTTCTACAGAAGAAACGGTTTTTTAAACTTACATTGAAAGTGCCTTAACCGATCTGCTTTGATTCTGGTTATTATAAGAATATGTAGTATAGAAAGGTGACAGAGGATAGTAGATAGAACATTCTGTGGATTTTCTCCTTTGGGTTACTTTGCTCTTTTCCTTACAGTGGAAAAATGATTGTTTTTAACCATCTACTTCTGCGTGTCATGATTGGTCCTGACCTTCCACCTTTCCCTTGAACTCCTGCAAGCTAGAGAGAGAACTGCTGGGAGTCTGTTTGTACTGTTTTATTTTGTTTTTTAATCAAGAGCACAAGAAAACCTAGAAATAGGAAAGAAGGCATGCAGAAGGAAGTGGAATATGGAGGGTACTGAAGAGGTTGATTTGAAACGGTAAAACCTCCAGGCATCAGTTATTAGAACAGAGGGAAGGTTGACTTCTGGTTTGCAGAGGTGATTTATCTCAAGTGACTGTTAGATGCTCACAAGCCTAGTCTTGAGTGGGTTAGACTGAGTTCCTGTCTTGCCAGATTGGATAAAGTATAATGTGGGTATGTTCTGTCAGAGTGATAGGGACATGTGGAAGTGTATATGTGTTGTGTGTGTGTGAGAGAGAGAAACCTATTTATGAAGATGTTGAAGAAAAAAAAATAAATAAATAAAGGATCAGGTGCCTGCAGTTTGATCACCTAACATACTGGTTATTTTAATTCAGATAATGTTATTTGGCTGTCAGTGGTCTATAACTGAGACAGCCCTGTGTGTGACACACAGGGAAGAACTCTGGAGAAATGTATTTCTCCAACCTGCAGATTATTTTTATTGACACAAATTCACAGAAAATAAAATTAACCTTTTTAAAATGTACAATTCATTGGCATATAGCACATTCACAGCATTGCACAACCATCACTTCTACCAAGCTCCAAAGTGTTCTCATCGTTCAAAAAAAAAAAAACATACTGACAACCATTTCCCAATACTGTCAACCCACAACTCCTGGCAGCCACTAACTGCTTTCTGTCTCTGGGTTTACCTGTTCTGGATATTTCATGTAAATGGAATCATACGATATGATTGTGACCGTCTGTGTCTGGCTTCTCTTACTAAGAATGATGTTTTCAAGGTTCACC